CAGCAAAGACTGAGGATGGTGTAGGACCTGGCAGGGTTGTTCTGTTGTATGGAGGGTTGTGATGAATTGGAACTGACTGATGGTACCTAACAACATGTTTATGTAAGACCTTAAAACAGTATGTCCATATTTTATAATAAACAATAGTTATAAAAAGTAATTGTAATTTTATAGCAGCACAAACAGCTGACTGTAACCTTTTTTCTTCCAGAATTTAAATGAATATGTTGATGCATTAATTACCTTGAAGCAGAAGATTATCAATACAGAGTAAGTATACTCGTGCGTGTCTCAAACAACTTGGTAAAGTTGACGAGCTGGAGGAAGCAGCCCCTAGGGCTGAAAGGAGCCCTGCCCGTGCCAGGCCTCCTGGGCTGGTTAGAATAGAAGTGCTGAAAGTGTATTTGTTACAAGAAACCTAAGAAGAGGGTGGGCCTGACATGTTTCAAAACGTGGTTTTAACATAGTATCATTTCTAGGTTAAGTAATTCTTTGTTTTTATTTTTTTGTTTTTCATTGCAGTAATTTGTTAACGGAGTATCAGAAGAAATGTGATGATATCCTTTTACTGGCTTCGGCTTTTGCATTTCCTAGTGACTGATAGTTTCTTAGGAGTGAGGGGGTTGTGTCCACAGCTGTCTCTGGGAGGGTGGCAGCTTTGTCAGTAAGGAGCGAGCCCAGGAGCACGGTGTGTGCTTTCAGTTTGTCCGTCTGCTAAGTTCTCACTCAGGAGCCCCACAGCTGGGTTGTGCTTGTCATCGGTGCTGGTTTTCTTAAAGTCTGAAGCTCTTCCCCGGGGAGGCATTTCTCCCTGTAATGGCGCAGGCCGTGTCGACACAGGGTGCTGTCCAGCGGGGGACGACACTGACCGCGTGGCACCTCGGAATCTCTGCAGCTCTGTGGTGGCGCTGTTAAGAATGTCGGGACTTGGCTTTGGTCATCGTGTGTTGATTTGTAGAGAAGTGCTGTGCATGTCCAGGTCACGTGAACACTGCAGATCCTTGGGCATCCACAGGACTCCTTGCAGGCTCACAGTCACCTTGTGTCCAGGAACCAGTCAGTGAGACCTGCAGTGCAGGTGGCCTGTGGTTACCGGAACAGCATGTGTGTGGTCGCTGCTTCTCTGCCCTGAATTAAGTTTCTCCTATGAAAATAGAAACTCTCTCCCATGAAAACAAAATGCCTGTGCCTCGTAGGATTTACTGAAGTTCAGCTTCAGCATTGCCACGGGGCCGGGGTCTGCAGCCCATCTTTGCCATAACCTGAGCCTTCAAGGTTGGTTCTGGCGACCCTGACCGTGATCACTGGCTGTTTGTGTTGGGACCGTGGTATTAGGAGAGTTATAAATAAGGAAATTAAGGGATGCCATTGAGATTAAATTTTGTATCCAGATGTTTACATTTAAAATACAGGTTGTTGAACATCTTAGATGCTTGATTTTTTGAACTGTGAAGCCATTTATCTTTGTAATTAAATTTTGTATTATTGGCAGAATAATTGCTTTAACTGATGGTTGTAAGAACTGTTACTTTTACTACAAGAATTGTCATTACAACCACTTTTAAATGAGGAGGGAAGTTAACGGGTAGTTCACATCAGTGTTAGGGGAGTGTATTCATTTGTACCTTTTGGAAGAAACAGTCACAATTTTTCAGATAATTATGGGTATAATCTAGCAAGGAAATAATTGTTTCACTGTTAAAATTTGGGCACAAACAATTTTAAACATAATCACCAGAGTACTTTTTGAAATAGGTAACAGTGTTTGTTGTTGAATGTCAGACGTTCATTCTGTGGTGTGACTTTGGCTCTGGCCCTAGCTCCTTGCCTGGTTTCTAACAAATTAGGCGTTAGCCTTGAGCATGCATTGATTTCACCCCAGCTGTGCGGAGTTATCACCAGCGCAAATGGCCAGTGTTACAGATTGGAAATGGCTTTCTTTAATTGTGCATTACCTTTTGCTGCTGAAAGTATGGTCTCCTTGTCACCAGGATGGGGATGCTAGTTCTCCAGTAACCGTGCTGAGATAATGAGTATCTTTATTTCTGCTCTTGACTTCCTTGTGTGTCCTTTGGACCATTTTCCTGGTTATTAGTACCTCCTCTTGCTAACAGGCAGAGAGCGCGTCTTCTTCACGGGGTGATTGTTGGACGTTTTTATCTTGTAAGGTTTGCTGTAGAATCAGGTAAATGTGTGAAGATGGCCTTCTAACAACAGAGGGTCTGGATGCCTTTACAAGTGTTTACTGCCCTTGATGGAAGGACAGTTCACAAGAGAAGAAACTTAAAGGTTTCATTGATTTTTTTACTTCTTAGTGTCCTGGAACACCCTCCCAGGAGCATGAGCTGGAAAAGGTGGTTATCAGATCCTGCTGGTGGTCCCGATGGTGTGAATTGTAAAGGCTGTAAAGGTGGAGGATTATCGTGATGTGGTGGTCTCCCTGGGTCTCTTTTCTCATTACCCTTCAGATGTAGCTGGGTTTGCTTTTAGTAAGTACTTAGGTTTGTTTGCTTAAGACTTTCCTGGGCTACTGAGAGATGAAGGGTAAGCTGTTGGGGATTCTGTGTATAACATGTTGTTGTTGTTATGTGCTGTCGAGTCGGCCCCGACTCATAGCGACCCCTACTTGGGTTTCCGAGGCAGTATCACTACGGAAGTAGGATTGCCCAACCTTCCTTCTGAGGAGTGGCTGGTGGGTTTGAACCGCCAGCCTTCTGGTTAGCAGTCAAGTGCTTTGGCCACTATGCTACCAGAGCTCCTCTACATACATAGGGAATGTATTTTCTGTTTGTTTTTAATTGCTTAGGTGCTCTTGTGGTGTAGTGCTCAAAGCATTGGGCTGCTAACCAAAAGGTCAGCAGTTTGAACCCATCAGCTGTTCCCTGGGAGAAAGAAGCATGAGGCCGTCTGCTTCAATAAGGCCGAACAGTCCTGGAGGCCCTGTGGGCAGAGCAGTTTGACTCTGTCATGTCGCGTCTCTATGTGTTACAATTGACTTGATGGCAGTGGGTTTTTATATTGCTTTGTCTTTATCCAGGTAATTTAATTCTAACCAATGATAAATTTAAAAGTTTAAGGCTTTTTAAAAAAACAGGTATTTGACTTCCGGTACGTATCATGGTAAATGAGACTAACTCAGGAAGGGCTCTTACTGCTGTGTATGTAGAACTTTGAGTATTCTTTCCTAGGATCTGTGACCGTGTCTGTGTGTGCGTTGACCATGTCCACTATCACAGACACTTGCAGAGGAAGCTGTTCTCCGGGCCAGCATCAGCAGATGCAGGTTTAGAGTTTTCTTTAACAAGTCTTACAGCTGCAGTTTGCAAGAAGGTAAGCTGTCTATTTTAACAGTTAGCATAGCCACCATCTGAGTAGTAGATTTAGGGTAGACATTTATCTGACCAGGTTTTTAATGGATTCAAACCAAATGCCTAATGGGATTACAATCGAGAGTGTTGCTTTGATGCTCATAATCAAACGAGGTCTGCATTTTCCTTGCGATCAAATCATCCAGATGACTTTATTACAAAGGTCTTTAACCGGCTTTCCAGTGACTTCCCGCCCCCGTTACCATTGAGATGTGACATGGTGATATCTGATTGTTTTTGTCCATGTGAATTGCATGTCGAATGTGGTTGTTTATCCTGTTACTTTAAACACTTTAAAGCAGCCCTTAGTGCTTTAGTAATGTCTCCCTCCACGATCATGTTCATCACGTAGACGGGGCACATGACCTCCTGCCGCTGCATTTGAATAAAAGGGGGGATGAGTTCAAGGCTGGCGAGCGGCCTGTCCGGCACACGCAGCTCCTCACATTGTTTTTTGTGTACTTTTACCAAAATATTGACTACAGTGACACAGAAATAAAAAGCAATTTGCAGATCATGTTGTGTCAACAGAGAGGTTGTTCTCATCCCTGCATTTTGTAAGGTAAAAATCTGCAGCCGCCCGAGTGCGATCCTCTGTGGTTGGCCTTGTAACGTGGACCTGCTGTCCGTTCCAGGGAGAACAGCACTCTCCATCACCAAGTGGAGCAGATGCTTCAGAAAATCTCTCCGCTGCAGAAGTGTCAGGAGGAGCTGGGCTCGCTGAGAGCGGAGCTCGAAGAGAAGAAGGTACGTCGGTCGGGTCTGCGGATCCCTGCGCTGGGCACAGGGGAGCTTCACGCCCGGCAGGAGAGAGAGGGGCTGCTCGGGGTCTTCAGGTGCAGCCCTCCACTCGGGAACACGAGCCAGGAGGTGGACGCTTAGTCTGGACGGGAACTAATTCCTGCGTGCTGGGTTGGTTGTGCTGGGTTGGTTGCTTACACTTCCCGGGAGCCTTGGGACAGGAGCCTTGCAGCTGAGATGTTGGTAGTTCTCTGTCCTGCCTTGATCAGCCCTTCTTTGTTTCTTCACATTTTTCTTGCCATAAGATGGAGCTGCATGTGACAATTCACACTTGAAGGCCCAGAGGTCACTGTGTGGGGGGGGGAGGGGGCAGGCGAGCTCCGGAGGGCATGGGAGTGTTTCTTGTCCTCCGTGGGCTCGGGTCTAGCTGGGGGCAGGACAGTGGTGCGTGGGGCACACGGCCTCTGCTGGAGGACCTCCCTTCCAGTGGAGTAAGGGTGCCCCTTCGGTAACCTGCTGCCACGTTCGTGAGCCAGTCAGTGCTGCAAGCACCATCTGTTGCTTTTGTTTTCACCTTTTTTTTAATGATCATGAATGGAATCCCTGTGGTTTCTCTCTGTCTGTGAGAGATCCCAGAACGAGAGTTCTTAAAAGTGTCCTTATAAGTAAGTGTTCAGACCAGAAGCTAATTCCTTCACCAGCTGGTAACGTGGGTGAACTTCTTGGTGATACTGTGCTGAGTGAGACAAAGCGGTGGGTGGACAGTGCCTACTTGAGCTACGATGAAGCCGGTACATGTATCACTCTAAATTCCCCTCTGTGCGCTTACTGCAGCGAGATGGTTGTTTTCAGTGCTGGAAGCTTGCTTTTCTGAGTGCTCTACTCTCCAGGAATCTTAGAATCCTGGCTTTCACAGATAAGACACCGGAAGCCAGTGAAGTGACGCAGTTTGCGTGACACAGTTGTGGCCCAGCTGGACTGGCCTTGGCTCCTTGACCCGAGCTCTAGGCTCTTTTCATGCTGTGTCTGTGCCCCGTCTTCCTTGAGCTGCTTGTAGGACTGCCGTGTCCGTGTGAGGTCTGACACTCCTTCACCGTGACCGGTGTTCCTGTAGAGATTTTTTGTTGCATAAGTGACCACAGGGAACGTTGAGGAGCTGCACGCTGGATCGTGCCCACGCTGACTTGTCATCATCTCCTCCCCCAGAGTTCTCTCCGGCTGTATCAGGAGACCCATCAGGAGTATGCCCGCGCCAAGGAAGAGTGCTTGAAGAGTGACGCCCAGTGAGTATTTCTGAAGTGACTGTGGAAGCAGGGCTCTCAGCTTTGAAAATGGGGACCCTCTCAGCACTATTCCTCTTGGTTTCTGGTTTCTTGGCCATCATTAACTGGGTGGCCGTGTATTAGTCTGTCACTCGTCCTTGGTTTCCATGTCTGTAAAATGGGAGTAACAGCTAAGTTGCAGAGTTATGTGGTGCTGTGCTTAGGTGTACACTCAAAGTAACCCCATGTGACAATGCAAAGGCCAACGTCGGGTTTTGTCGGCTGTGATTTTTTTATTTTTTTTTTCATTGTGATTTGGGTGAAGATTTACAGAGCAAATTCACTCTCGCATACAGCAGTTCACATATACTTTGTCTCATGTCATTGACCACAGTTTACCACAATGCAACAGCTCCCCTCCCACTTCCTCCCCATAGTTACCTCTTCCCTGTGTCCATCCCTCCATACAGTCCTGCCCCCTGAACTGTCTCCCTGTGCATAAGCAGCCCTTCTTTCTCCCATGATTGTTCTCTCCACAGAGTGTAACTACTTGAGGTAAATGTTCAACTCATATGCCCGTATTTTGTTTGGCTGGAAACCACAGGTGTGAGTTCAATTCCAGACCTGAAGGGCAGCTAGGGGCCATAGTCTCAGTGGTTCTACCAGGCTCTATCAGATCAGCAAACCTGGTCCCAACCATTTTTTTTTTTCTCCAAATGATTTTGAGTTTTATTCCACATTCTTCTCCCTGTCTATCAAGGATCTCCTACATACATCCCCTTCCAAGTGGATGACAGTGGTAGCCAGGCACCATCTAGTTCTTCTGGTCTAATAGTCATATAGGCTGCAGATCAGATGGTGTACTAGTCGCTAGGACTAATTGTTTCCATGAGTTTTGGTTTTCTTCGTTCTTCTTTGCTCTGGACGAGGAGAGACCCATTGTTGCATCTAGATGGCAGCTTGCTAGGTTTTAAGATCCCAGTCACTATTTGCCAAAGTAGGAGGTGGAACAATGTTTTGTATAGTATGTTATGCCCATTAAGCTTGATGTCCCCCTGCGACTATGGTTCCAAGCTTGCAGGTTCAACTACTCGGTCCCTCTGGGTTGCTGGCTGTGACCAAGCAGTGACCATAACCTTTCGGCTGTGATTTTTATGGGAACAGATAGCCCAGTCTTTCCTGCAGAGCCTCTAGGTGGGTTTGAACTGCCAGCCTTTTGGATAGCAGCCAGGCCCTAGCTGTTCTGCCACTAAGGCTCCTGGGAAGGCCTGAGGAGGAGAGAATAAGCTACCATGTGTTAAAGGGATGGCACCAACAGGCTCAGGACAAGCCTTACTCGTCTTTGTGCATGCAGAGTGTCTGTACTACAGGGGCGTTGACGCCTTGCTGTGCCCTAGTCCCTTCACAGGTAGCATATTCAGTGTGTCTTTTTGCATTAATAAAAAGCCCTGTTCAGAGTGCTGCTTTGGTCTCTCTGAGGTTTCGTACTGTGTTCCCATCAATCGCAAAGCAGGCTCGTGGACGGCACGTCCAGCAGTTGAGCGTCACGTGGGTGTGGTGAAGTGTTCCCTCATCTCTGCCTCTCAGAAATCCACGGGAAATCACTTTTCATTCCCCAGCCCCCACTCCAGGGTCGCACCGAGAGCATGAGTGCCCTGCTCTGAGTCTGTGCAGACGCGCGTGTGTGCTCCTTAAAGTAACGCAGACCCAACAGACGCTGGGCTTCGGCCATGCACTGGAGCACAGCTGCTCTGTCTGTAGACAGTAACTAGCTCAGGGTGCTTAAGTGACCCAGTCGAGAGCCCATACGTGGAACCACACTGTGTGGGGGGCCCTGGGTCTTTCAAATGACAAGATTCTTCAGTGCTTTTGAGAAATGCTGACACAAAACGATGGGCTGTTCTTTCGTGGGGTGCTGGCAGTTCCCACTGATGCATGGTGCTTGTGGGACTAAACGTTTTTGTTGTACAAATCTTAGTAAATCTTAACAAGTGTGTTCCATACATTGATGTGTCATTTTTGTTTCTGTTGTTCTACTTCTTATATTTATTTAACTTATAAATTCGTTAGGAAGAAGAAACTGGAAGCCAAGGTGAAGAAGCTGGAAGGTAATTGCGCCATTGTTACTTGGCTGATGGAAGTCGTGGTGATGACATAAACAGTCTGTGATGCACGAGTTTAGTTCCTGGTTTCTGGTGGTGCATTCCTGGATGAATGTGGTGAGAATGTGTTAGGAAAATGTTTGGATACTGTGCTCACGCAGCTGGTAGAGAACCCAGCAGCCCAGTTCCGTCGACTTGACTGACTCATGACGACCTGGGTGTGTGCCCTGTAGGGTTTTCAATGCTCACTTTTCAGAAGTAGGTTGCCGGGCCTTTTCTTCTGATAGTTGATGTGACTATCAAATTTGTAAAGCCAAATCCTTGAACTGTTGTCCTTGAAGCACTGGCATGTATTTGCTCCAGGAAGTAGCAGTTAATGAATGGACATGACTTTCATGGGGCATTCTCTTCTCCTAACGAAGCAGTTGGTCAGTAGAGAAGCTTGATGAACGTAGATTGTTGAGACGGATCCTCGGAGACATTCCAGTGAGATTCCCCTGTCGGTGTTTGGCAGATGTGTGCCTCGTCCTCTCCCACACTCCATCCTTTTATTGGGGCTTGTAGTCTTCAGTGACTTGGCAGACTGTCAGGGGCTCATATAAGAATCTTTGTGGTCCTTCTAGTTCAGTGATAACCCTTTCAGGAATCCATAGGAATTGAACTTGGGATCTCTTTCTTTTCACCTCATTGGGAGATTAGGACAGTACCTAATGTCAAGTAGAGATGGTTGGGGCTTTGCCAGACCTGTCCCTGTGCCCTTCTTGAGTTTCAGCATGGCCTTTAGCAGTTCACTCACCTCCTGTGGGTTAACCAGAAAGACCCAAATCCATTGCCAGTGACTGGGTTCAGACTCCTGGCGCCCCTTGTGGTACAGAGTAGAACTACTACGTAGGGTGTTCTGAGCTGTAACCTTTATGGAAGGGGATTGCCGGGCCTGTCTTCGATGGCTCCACTGGGTGAGTTAGAACTGCCAACCTATGGGTTAGTACCTGACCGCAAACCATTTGTGCAGCCCAGGGACCATCTGCTGTGGGTTACTGACCAAGGTTCATTGTGCTATGGTGCTCTACTTCAGAAACTGTGTGAGTTAAGAACGTGAGTAATTGATCAGGACTTTCAGAGTGGTACCAAACCCAAACCACACCCACTGCCCTGGAGTCCATTCCGACCCACAGCGCCCCTAGAGGACAGAGTGGAACTGCCCACAGGGTCTCCAAGGCTGTCAGTCTTCAGAGAAGCAAAACCCAAACCACACCCACTGCCTGGAGTCCATTCTGACCCACAGCGCCCCAGAGGACAGAGTGGAACTGCCCACAGGGTCTCCAGGGCTGTCAGTCTTCACAGAAGCAAAGCCCAAACCACACCCACAGCCCTGGGTTGATTCTGACCCACAGCACCCCTAGAGGACAGAGTGGAACTGCCCACAGGGTCTCCAAGGCTGTCATCTTTATGGAAGCGGACAGCCTTCTTTTTCTCCCACAGAGCAGCTGGTGGTTTCGAGCTGCCAACTGTTTGGTTAGTAGCCAAGTGCTTTAACTACTGCACCACCAGATCTGTGGCAAAATGGGAGCTGCTGGAAACTCCTAGTCACTAATTTATCTGGAATACTTTAGACTTCCACACTATTGGTACTTTAGGAACAGTCTGTCCTCTGCTTTGATTGTTGCACTCACGTTGACAGTCGGGTCGTGAGTCTACATGATGGTGCTTTTTCCTGTCACAGCCTTCTCATGCTTGCACGTGGCAGTCTGTTTCCTCAAGGACATGACCGTGGGGATCTCAGTGGTGCTGGTAGGCTGATGTGCAGTTCACGGGACTTCCTTTGCAACCAGAGCGTAGCCTTTGTCTTCCTTCAACAACCACATTTTTCCCCAGTGAGCCCTGAGCACTTGTGTGTGATTGTCAGGTCAAGAAGGAGTATCTTGTTGGAGGAGTCAGGACAGGGTTCTGACTTTGGTGTTTACGACATCATTTTTCCATAGAAACGGTATATGACCGTAATCAGATGAGGTTCACACTAGTCAGACGCTTAATAGTTTATCTGATGGTTTGGTGCTTTAGAGCCAAAAACAAGAAATCACAGAAGAGCTATAAAAATGCCTTACAAAGTGAGATCTCCAATAAGGTGTAAGGAATTCGGGTGAAGGGTTAGTCGGCTTGTGGAAGGGAATCCTAGGAAGGAGTAGCAAACCCGTGGTCAGCAGAGAAGGTGATTGGGTCCCTAAATCAAGACAGTGATACTCATCACAATGAGAGAATCACAGTTCCCTAAAACCTCCGCCTTACGGTTGCTGATCATGTAGATAAGGTAAGCCAGGGAGGCCTTGTGCCCGTGCTCCAGGGCCTTTGAGGGTGCTCTTGCCCGACCTGAATGGTGGGGGAGGCTGGGCCTGTCTGGCTTTAGAATTGGTGGTCTAAAGTGCAAAGATTTCTGCACTCAGCAGCTCTCATAAAGTACTCCGAGAGCAGGGACTTCTTATATGATGTGTTTCAAACTTAAGAGAAAAGAAAAGTTCTGAGTCAGTTAGATACCTAGCATTCTGTTCACCCTGGCAGTGAGGCTGGGAAATTACTTTTCTCTCTGTTATTTCATCTTCTGAACAAAGAGGCTGCGTTCAAGCAGATTCAGGACTTCAAGCAACTGAGGAATGAGAAGAAAGTCCTCGAAAAGGAATTTAAGAAAACGCAGGTAATAAATACATAGATCGGTGCACACAGATTGAAGGCCTTGCTCTGGTCCCCGTGGTGGTCTCTGCATGTTGCCATGGGTCCCTAACTAACGTCTGAGGCCACCTCGTGAAAACACTTACATTGTCTGCGGTGGTGTCACTGTGGCATGGGATCCAGAGAGGGAGTCCCCCTAACCCACTGTGAACCCACTGCTGGGGAGCTGGTGCTATGACGCATGTGGTCCAGACAGTCATCCGCCCTACCTGCTGTAAACCCCCCGCCTGCACGCCAGGCCCACTCTGCCACGCGACAGGCAGGGGCTGCCCTTCTCACCTGCTGTCATTCCTGCCGGTGAGTCGGTGCTCACGTTGCGTGTGGTCCAGCACATGCACCCACCCTCCTCACCAGTTGCAAACCCACTGCCGACAAGTCAGTCCTGACTCGTAGTGACCCTGCAGGAGAGAGTAGGGGGCTCCAGAGCTGTGGTCTTTAGGGAAGCACACTGCCACATGTTTCCCACGGAGGGGCTGATGTGTTCCAGCCACCAGCCTTTTGGTTAGCAGCTGAGCACTTTAACCACTGTGCCATGAGGGCACGCTCCTTCCTTATTTATTATAAACTGTATTGTTTTGTTTTAACAGGAAAGACTGGATGAATTTTCTAAAAGGAAAAAAGAAAAGGGTGAGTATTCAGCTAATGCTTATTTTAAAACTGTGTCTGATAGTGTGTGTGTGTGCATGTGTGTGCACATGTGTGATGGGCAGTGTGTCTGACTGGCAGTGTGTATGTATATGATAGGCAGTGTGTGTGTGTGGGGGTGCGTGATGGGCAGCATGTATGTATGTGTGGCAGATAGTGTGTCTGACAGCATGTGTGTGCCTGATGAGCAGTGTGTGTGTGTTTGATGGGCAGCATGTATATGTGTGAGACAGTGTGTCTGCCTGGCAGTGTGTATGTATATGTCTGATGGGCAGTGTGTGTGTGTCTGTGTGTGTGTGTGTTGGGCAGCATGTGTATGTATGTGCGATTGTCTACCTGGCAGTGTATATGTATATGTTTATGTCTGATGGGCAGTGTGTGTGTGATGGGCAGCATGTATATGTGTATGTGATTGTGTCTGCCTGGCAGTATATATGTCTCATGGGCTGTGTGTGTATGTGTGTGTGAGATGGGCAGCATGTATATGTGTGTGATGGGCAGTTTGTCTATCTGGCTGTGTGTATGTATATGTCTGATGGGCAGTGTGTGTGTGATGGGCAGCATGTATATGTGTATGTGATTGTGTCTGCCTGGCAGTGTATATGTCTCATGGGCTGTGTGTGTATGTGTGTGTGAGATGGGCAGCATGTATATGTGTGTGACGGGCAGTTTGTCTGGCTGTGTGTATGTATATGTCTGATGGCAGTGTGTGTCTGGGTCTGATGGTCAGCATGTGTGTGTCTGATGGGCAGAGTGTGTGTGTATGTGTGTGTGTGTGTGTGAGGCAGTGTATATGTGTTTGATGGCCAGCATGTATATGTGTGACAGACAGTGTGTCTGCCTGGCAGTGTGTGTGTGTGAGGGTCAGTGTGGGGGTGTGTGTGCTTCTGTCTTTAATGATTGTTCTTCATATGTCTACAGAGTTGAGACACATTGGAACACAAATCTCCAGCGATTCCTGTGGAAGGATAGATAAAAGTGAGTGCAGAGCACGTCTTTGGGACCGCTGTGTGACCGCTGCATGTGAGGGGCTGTGGGTCGCTGTCACAAACCACCGGACAGCACCACAGCTCAGTCCTGATTACATTCCGTCATACCGGTTTCCACTCGTAAAATAAAGCAGCGGCCGGCTTGCAGATGGGGCAGTGGAAGACGAGGGAGGGGACCAAGAGAGAGTGGGACGGGCTTTGAGGCTACGGCGCAAAAGGGAAAGGAAAATAGGAGGATTTGGAGGTTAGATCTTCACTCGTGAAAACATTTCTCCTGGATTGTTTCTCTGTCAGATTTGCAGCATCAGGTTAGTGTGAGTGTGTTTTCCTAGAACACTCAGGTCTCGGAGCACAGAATGGTCAGGAGAGAGGGTGATCGGGAAATGACTGAGCACATTGTCTGAGCAGAAGGCAGCCTTAAACGCAGAGCTGGTGGGTTGTATAAGATCGTCATCTCTGCATACTCACGGGAAACACCTCTAACGCCATGTGAGGTGGGGACTGATTTGATTGGGGGGATGAAGACACTCAAGCAAATGCTGACGTGGAAGCAGGGGCTGTTGCGCTGCCCTTGACGCCTGGGGAGCCCGTGTGAGTCAGAGCGGCCCTGGCCCCACAGAGTTCTCGGGCTGATTTTTCAGAAGGAGATCACCAGGCCTTTCTTCCGAGGGGCCTTGAGCCACCAGCCTTTGGGTCAGCAGCCAAGTATGTTAGCTGTGCACTATCCAGGGCTCAGAAGGAGTAAGAGAAGGCAAAGTGACTTCAGGGCTAGTGACACAGCTGGGTGGAAGGCATGATCCCTGAGGAACGTCCTGCTGTGAAAGCATGTCAGGCGCAGCCTGGAGTTTCTAAAGGGGCAGCTCTGTTGTTGTCGTGGAAGACTAGTGTGTGTGTCTCAGGAGCAGAGTGCCTGCAGACTGCAGAACACTGGAGGCACAGTTGCAAGACTGGTAAGGCGCACGGAGTAATTCAAAGCACAAACCGAGAGCTCGCTGCGGTGTCCTGCAAATAGATCTAAAACCCCTTTCTGCCAAGCAACATAATGTCTAAAATTCACTGTTCGTGAGAATACCGCCCACTGCTTAAAAACACAACACAAGCACACCCAGACAGATATAAACTCCACCTCAATAACAGAACATAAAAGCTGAAGTAAGGAAGTATTTATGCATAGACAACGAGGACAGTGTTACTAAAACCTTCTTAATATCATCACTCTGCTGCACGAAGTAGTGTTGCAGTGAAGTGAACTTATTAGAAACCTGGGACGTGAAGGGTTCAGCTGAGCGGGTAGGAAAACGCAGCAGAAACCGAAAATCTCAGGGAGGATTGATTGAGATGGGACCACGTGTTAATGCCGTAGAAAGCAGAGCGTGGTCACTGGACCCTTGAGGTACTAGTAAAACTGAAAGCTAACGGCACCTGGACTGAGGAAAGCTGCAGGCTGTAGTTATAGAAATTTCTTACACATAGGTTTACATTCAAGTTGGAAATGTAGATGGAATGGTCCCTTTTCTAGGAAAACATGCACAAGTTGACCCTGAGTTGTTGCCGATCTCAACAGAAAAATAACACAGGAGAAATTTTAGAAAATAGTGGTTGGCAAAGTCCAGGTGGCCCACTGGTTTGCTTTACAAAGCCCTCAATGATAAACTAACACTGTTCTTAGTGTTTATTTGCTTGTTATGCTTGTTATGTGCCGTCAAGTCAGACCCGACTCACAATGACCCCTCCTTGGGTTTCTGAGGCAGTATCACTATGGAAATAGATTGCCCAACTTTCCTTCCGAGGAGTGGCTGGTGGGTTTTAATCACCAGCCTTCTGGTTAGCAGTCAAGTGCCTTAGGCACTATGCTACCAGAGCTTATTTGCTTAGACTGTAAGAAATAGGGAATGCTCCCATTCCTATCCTCTTAGCCAGCACAACCCTGTACCAAAACCAAATACAGATGACGTGTGCGTGTCCTCAGCCACACACACACTCAACATGTAGGACCAGAGCTGCGGAAGCCCTGAGCAGACTGCTAGGCATCATGTCCACTGGTCATTTAGAGTCCAGACACGTCGAGAGTTAAGGGTGAGCCCAACTGTGAGGCAAAGGCTGTTAGGATGATCTGCATCCAGCCCCCATTCCCGAGGGGCATTGTGGTTGGTAATAACAAGAAGACGACATGTGAACTTGAGAGGGGTAATGTTAGAACATAGTCATTCAGGACAGAGACAAGGGCGGGTGGGCTTCTGTTGCCTCCATTCTTCGTGTATGAGGCCTGGTGGCACAGTGGGTAAGCACTCCACTGCTAACTCCTGAGCTCACCAGCGGCTTAGTGGGAAAAAAGACCTGGCCAGCACTCAGGGAAAGATGGCAACCTGGGTCTGCCCGCGAGGGGCACTGTGAGCTGCTCTGAGAACTGACTCGACAGCCTCTGGCAACAGAAACACCCCCCTTCGTGTCTGGGCTTCCTAACAGGGCAGTGAATCAAAGAGGAGGGTGGGAGCTGCAGACAGTGAAGCAAGAGTCCGAATGGTCGTCTCAGACGAATGGTCGTCGCACGTAGGCTTATGTGAACGTTTCAGACACCGCCCCAGAAAGCTTGGTTTAGTGAGGAGGTGGTGTAGCAGGGGCACGTGAGATGTGCCAGGATTAGCCTGCTGGGAAGGGGATGACATAAGAACAGGCCGTCATCAGAGGGCGGCTCAGGTGGCCGGGAAGAGGCCCGACACGCGGTGCGGTCTCTGGGGGGACACACTGCAGGAGTAGTACTGTGGCCTTGCGCAGTGAGGTCTGTGTGAGATGGACACACTGCGGGAGCCTGTGTGTCCTCTTCTGTGTGCGCACACTCACTTGCCTTATGAACACCTGTTTCCGTGTGTTTCTGCTCGTGTTGTCTGGGTGTGTGTTCCCTTCCGTGTGTCATAGACACGCTTTCTTCATCAATGCGTGTTTCCGTGTGTTTCTGCTCATGTCACCTGGGTGTGTGCCCTCTTCCACACATGCATACTCACTTGCACCCAGTCTGTTTCCCTTTCACACTGTGAATGTTTCTCTTGTGATCTGTGCGGTGATGTCTGACAGGGCACATCCGACCCAGTGGATCGAGCCAGGTGTTGGCACTTTAATGCTTTGCTCTTTCTCACAGGGAAGGTCAAGTTGCTTCTGAAGGAGCTCTGGCTCTGCATCAACACGGCCCACGGGATCCCAGGTGAGGGGGGCTGCGCCCGGGGGAGGGCGGCCTGCGGGCGGGCATCCCAGGTGAGGGGGGCTGCGCCTGGGGGAGGGCGGCCTGCGGGCGGGCATCCCAGGTGTCGGGGAGGCACATTCCAGGTGGAGGGAGGGAGCACGTCCCGGTAGGGTGGGGGTGTGGGCACCTGGGATGCAGATGGGGGCCATATCCCAGGTGAGGGCCTCCCGGGTGAGGGCAGGGACTGCCCCAGGGGCGGGGCAGGGCTGCACACATGCAGATCCTCTACTTAGCAGGAAGGCTTGTGTGACCCCATGGGCCTTTAGTGTGTGATAGCTCGTGGATCTGTCAGTAAAAGGACGAGAGGAACTAGTCGGGATACTTTGATTACCCAGAACACCTGTATCTTCAGTTACGCCTTTGAATGTCAGTAAGTACGTGTGGGTTTAATGTTTCATGGCAGCTTCCATCCGGGAACATTCAAAGAGACTAGAAGGACAGACGGGGGAGCCGTGTGTGACAGGTATGTGCAGATGGCAGAGGGACATGGTTTCCTCAGTCACCTCATCAGTGTGATCGATGCCTCGAGAGTGTGGCTTCACCTGTTTTTCACGAAGGTTACCGGTTCCTTCTGGTTGGGTGTTGAGTGCCCCCTCTGCATGCTTGATGGGAAATAATTGGACTTGTACCCGTGATAACAGTCTGGCATTCATGACCTTGTTTGCTCTTTACTATGTAACCAAAGGATAATACGTTGTTTTTTTCCAGAGTGTTTTGTAGTTATCAGTAGGGGCTAAAATGTTACTTTGGAGGACTGGGCTATTGAATGTGTATTTTTGTGCCATTTTGTGACAGGTTACTCACTAAGTGGTTTTGACTTTTACATCCTAAACCGATGTACTCGATAGAATTTTCTGGAATGAGAGGGTGTTCTGGAGCAGTGGCACAGTGTGTGGAAGGCACGAGTCCCGGAGGCCGTGGAGCCCTTGCAGTGTGGCTGGAGCGATTGAGGAACTGTGCTTTGAATTTGCATTTGTGTGGCTGTGAATAGCCGCCCGTGACCAGTAGCTCCCCTGTTGGACCGTGCTGTTCTGGACGGTGACCTGGATGCTGGCAAACTCAATTTCTCAGGAGCCCCGAGGCTCATTTTAACGCCTGTGTGGCTGTCAGGTCGATTGTGACGTGTGGTGGCCCCATGTGCTCTAGAGTTTTCAAGGCTGTGACTGTCGGAAGCAGGTTGCCAGGCCTTTCTTTTGAGGTGCTCCTGGGTGGGTTCGAACTGCCAACCGTTTGGTTAGTAGCTGGACACGAATCCTCTGAACCATTTGTGTTCAGCCTTTTGAGGGACGGCCAACTGGTCCTCCACGGTGGTGCACCATCATAGGTTCCCACCAACTTTCCACAATCTCGCTGACACTGTTTTCTGTTATTTTTTTCATCAACACTTACTGTGTTCCATCATTTTTCTTTTTCTTTTTGTTAATCATTGCCGTTCTAATCTGGGTCGTGTAGTATCTCATCGTGGGTTTGATACGCATCTCCCAAACGACTGATACCGCAGTGCTGGGGAAACAGTGTGTTTCGCTGCTCACCAAAAACTTGATGGTCCCACCTGCCAGCCACTGCAGGGAAGAAAGAGGGAAAGATGAAGCCCTCTGTTTCTGTGAAGATTGACAGCCTTGGAGACCCTCTGGGGCAGTTCCACTCTGTCCTGTGGGGGCACTGTGAGTCAGAACCAACTCCAGGCAGGGGTTCAGTGGCTAATGACTTACGGTGTCTTTTTCTGTGCTCCTTGGCTGTTTGAATATCCCCTGGTGCAGGGTCCATTCAGGACTTTGTGCGTTTTGAGATTGGGGGTTCTTATTGGGGTAAGCTGCAGATGTATTTTATATCTTCTCATTTTTTACCCTGGCTTGTTACATGCTTCCCAGAGTTTTATCCCCATCTGTAGGTCGTCTTTCCACTTTTTTGATAAAATCTTTTTATTCTTTTTTATTGTGATCTCGGTGAAAATTTACAGAGCAAATTCATTTTCCATATAGCAGTTCACACACACGTTGTCCCAAGACATTGACTACAATTTACCCCAATGCAACAACTCCCCTCCCACTTCTTCCCGATAGTTACTCTTTCCTGTATCCATCTCTCCATGCGCTCCTGCCCCCTGAACTGTCTCCCTGTGCATAAGCAGCCCTTCTTTCTCCCATGATTGTTCTCTCCAAGGAGTGTATCTACCTCAGGTACATGTTCAACTCATATGCCTGTCCTTTGTTTGGCTGGAAGCCACAGGTATAGGTTCAATTCCAGACCTGAAGGGCAGCTAGGGGCCATCATCTCAGTGGTTCCACCAGGCTCTATCGGACCAGCAAACCTGGTGTCCCCCCCCCCGCCCTTTTTTTCCCCCCAAATGATTTTGAGTTTTGTTCCACATTGTTCTCTCTCTCTATCCAGGATCTCTGACATAGATCCCCCTCTGAGTGGCTGGCAGTCGTAGCCAGGCATCATCTACCTCTTCTGGTCTCATAGTCGTATAGGCTGCAGATAGCATGATGTATTAGTTGCTAGGACTAATTGTTTCCATGGATCTTTGGTTTTCTTCATTCTTCTTTGCTCCAGATGAGGAGAGACCCATAGTTGCATCTAGATGGCTGCTTGCAAGCTTTTAAGATCCTAGCCACACAACTTGCCAAAGTAGGAGGTGGAACAATGTTTTGTGTAGTATGTTATGCCAATTGAGCTTGATGTCCCCTGTGACTATGGTCCCAAGCCTACAAGTTCAACTACTCGGTCCCTCAGGGTAGATGGCTGTGACCAAAAAGTGACTACAACCTTGTCCCTTGTCAGCTTTACTGTACACTTGGGAATTCTTACAGATCATACAAATACACTTATAGGACCATTGTCTGCCAACCCTATATATGGTCTTGGGTACACTCCCTGCTTCATAGACATAACCTAATAGTTCAGCCTGTCCAGCCATCTATGTAGCCATATACTCGTGTTTGCCTTCACTGACAATGCAGTACTGTATGTGCAAAGGGGTTCATCTTTGTTGTCAGTACCTAACGTGTACCTCTCTATGTCTTCCTCTTCCTCAGTGCCACCGTGCTGATCACTCACATTTGGTATATTGTGCTTCTCTTCACCCAAATCAATACGTATCTTTCCTATCTAACAGTGTTCCCTCCCCTCCCCTCCCACCCCTGGTAACCAACAAAGAAATTTTCCTCCCATAGATAAACCTTTCCTTTACTTTTACAATAATGGACTAATACAGTATTTGTCCTACTGTGATTGACTTATTTTGCTCAGCATAATGTCCTCCAAGTTCATCCATGTTATGTGGTGTTTTGCAGATTCTACGTTATTCTTTAGGGTTGCATAGTATTCCATTGTGTATGTACTATAGTTTGATAATCCACTCTTCAGTTGATGGGCACCTAGGTTGTTTCCATCTTTTGGCTATTGTAAATCGTGCTGCAATGAACATGGGTATGCATATGTCTGCTCTTATGGCTCTCATTTCTTTAGGATATGTACATAGTAATGGAATGGCTGGGTCAAATGGTATTTCTTATTCCAACTTTTTAAGCAATCACCATACTGCTTTCCGCAGTGGCTGTACCATTTTATAGTCCCATGAGCAGCATATGAGAGTCCCAGTCTCTCCACATCCCCGCCAACATTTGTTATTTTTTGTCTGGTTGAACTTTGCTGCTAGTGCTGAAACAAGATGGTATCTCCTTGTTGTTTTGATTTGCATTTCTCTAATGACTAGTGATTGTGAGCATTTCTTCATATGTTCGTTAGCCATCTGAATATCCTCCTTGATGAAGCATCTATTCATGTCTTCTGCCCATTTTTTAATTGGATTGTTTGTCTTTTTATTATTGAGGTATTGGAGTGCTCTGTAAATTCTAGAGATAAGTCCCTTGTCAGATATGTCATTACCAAATATTTTTTCCCAATCTGTAGGTTCTCTTTTGACTCTTTCGGAGAAGTCTTTGGAAGCACTTAAAAATTTAATTTTTAGAAGGTACCATTCATCTAGTTTCTCTTCTGCTGTTTCTGCACTTCGGGTTATGCTTGGTAGTCTATTTATGCCAT